CATGACTCTGTTATCAGACTTGGATATTTGTCTGTTTTTTAAAAATTATTTACAGTGCTCCAGTCTGCTCTTCAATCATTTAGCAGAAGTGCTTCGGTTTAGATAATTTGATGCTGTACAGTCTCTCATACGATTGAACATAGTTGTCTATCCAGTCATAACGACGGGGTCATTGCTATCCCTAAAAAACTGGCCAACTTGTGGATTGGCTTGTCCCGTGTAGCTCTTTATCTTTTGAAAGAAAATTGTCACTAGTCGGGTTAAAGACCACTGTGGAACACGGGTGGTGCTGAGCAAGACTGATGCCCTGTGTGCGGGAAGGCAGGTAAAATGACAGTGCACACATGAAGGGAATCTCAGTGGAAAGCATGTATCACTTCCATAGCAGCCATGGGTGTGCTTGTGATTTCTACAGATGCCCAAATTCTCCATTCGCCACAGCCCAGTGAAGTGAAAGAAATACCGTGATGATGTAATGCTAAATAATGAAGTTTAGCTGGCTATAAGTATGCTCTTTATTGCTTTTCTTGTCTGCTCTACATTTCAAATAATGTGAAGCTGTGAGATTAAGAAAGAAACACAAAGATACAGAGGTAAGAAGCTAAAGCCAAATAGACAGTGAACCAGGGCACATTATCTGTCTTTCCCAAGGCCTTCTTGAGAAGGGCAAATTTTTTTTCTATCTGGGACATAGACCTGCATATGAAGCTCAGTGAAAGTGCTTTGTCTTAGATAATTTGATGCGGTGTATTCTCTTACACATTTGAACATAGTTAAGATATTTTTTTAACCAGTCTCTTCTAACTCATTAAATAAAAGCATGAATTTTATAATTATTTTAAACTACATGGGGATCTATATCATTGTGACACTGGCTTTCTTGGGAATCCCAGTAAAAGTAAATAATTTCTCCTTTCTTTCCTTTTCTTGTTCTTTCTCCCCATGAACTCTCTCTTAATGATAATCCCCAGTTGAAGACAATATTGCCGAGGAAGCTATTAGAGTCGAGGGTGTGTCTCTTGAAAATATTAAGCCGGGTGGCCAGCAAGAATGAGCATTAGCTTCTACAGTGAGTTTTCAGGAATAGTTGATTTCTTCAGAAATCACCCTGAGAATGTTTTCCCTTTATTTCTTTTAGAAGAGAGCTGCCTCTTATAATACGGCCACCTAATTAACAGAGTAACAATCTGCCCAGGGGCAAGGAAGTATGGCATCCTCATAATCTTGTATCTGTGTGTGTAGATACAAGGAAGAAAGCATACTGAAGTTTTTTTGAAATGCTTGTCTTTTAGGTCATCAGAACCATGTCAGATATTCCAAGGCAGTAACTTCAGCAGAACACTTAACAGAGGTCCTATTTCCCCTCACTTCTGCCTGACCAGCAGGTCTATCTATTGCATTTCCTTGGTCAGCTTTCTGTGAAGGTGGTATGTGAAGGGGCTTCCCTTCAGAGCTCATCTCCTAACTCCCTGTTACAGAAGAGACAGTTTAAGGGCTGTGAGCAATGGTAGATAGTTTGCCAACTCCCTCCCTGCCTAGGAATGGATGTACATTAATATTATCAAATGCCTCATCAGCAAGGCAGCTGTGTTTTGCTGAAAAGGCTCCAAACCACCTGATTCCTGTCTTCCCTTGAAAGTAAATAATAATGGCCCGTGTGAGGTGACACCTGTTAGAAGCCTTACAAAGCATTTTTCCGGAATATAAAACAGTCCCTGTCTCTGTTTATAATCTTGTGAAAAGGCTTTAGGATATCCTCCTGCATCTGACAAATTGATACACAACCCTCCTTCTTATTCCCTGCACATGTTCTGTGCTTTCCTGCTCTGTCCTGCCTGGGAGGCTGCATAAACACCTTTGACTTGCAGCTCCAGTTCTTCAGGAGCTAGGCAGGTTCAGAGGGCAGCTGCATGCAGCAGGGGTATTCCAGATGCAAGGAGAAGGTTTTGTTTGGGCATTCCCCTGTCCTGAGGTTGCCTAGGGCAACAGGGTAAGTGACAGCAAGCAAGACCTGCTTGGTTCTCTGTGGGTAAATGGAACAGGTGCAGTTCATTCATTTTAGATTGAGCAGTAAGAAGTTGGCTCTTGAATTTTTGATAATATCTTATACCCGGCTCCAGGGAAGGGAAGAGAGTATCTGCAGTCCAAACTTTCCTCCCTATACTTTACTGTTGTGTATTTTTTCCCTCTCCAGCATTAGGGATACAGCCATTTCTGTAAGGATGTAAATCTATATTCACAGGGTGGGAAAATATACGAAGTGGGTACATACGTGTATGTTGGTAAGTGCCTGTGCACAGAACAAACCCTATGAGGCCAGGGAGGAATGTTCCCTTTGGTTGTTGGTGAGCATGATTCCTTTTCCTTCACTAAAGCAAACTTGATGTTTCCTGCTTTTGAGTCCTGAATGTGATTGGGTCAGAGGATGATGATATAGGTGATTTTGTGTATGTACATATAGATCTGGTATAAAGCATATATTTATATATGCATATACACAGGCATGCAGAAATAGCATGAGAGATGACCTGCCTAGGAAAGTTTTGTTTGGTTGTTGTTAATGATCTTAATGCTTTTAAAGACCTACTATCGTATCCCAGACACTTCTCTCTGGATCTATCCTAGCCCAACATATGATCTCACAGACACGTAGTGAGGAGACAATGAGGGCAAACAATGGGAGGGAGAAGGTGCCCGTGTGCCAGCCGACGGGGGACCCTGTAGTTGTACATCATGTCACGCTCAGTGCACGTCATTGAGGTGGGGACCGGGCCTTGAAATATTGTCTTCTCAAGTACAAATTTTTGTTAATGACCACAACACTCCCTATGAAATGGAGCTCTCAGGCAAGCAAAAAGCCCCGTGGCTGCTTGGATGAGTCTCTGCTGTGCTCTGGGAATTAATGGGGAGAAGTGAGGAGGCAAGGGGAGCATCAGGAAGTGCTGGGGGAAGGCTAGGGGTTTTACAGTCTCTCTGTAGTGGAGTCCAAGTCACCTATTCAAACCTTCTTTCAAATAACAAACCAGTCAATAATATATATTCATGCAATAATCAACTCTGCTCCCCTCCAAGTCATGCACAGGGAAAATAAGCAGAATTTTTAACTAAAAGTTTACTTATTCGTTCTCCTTCACTCTAAGAAACTGGCACAAATTCTTGCTTCAATACAAAATTCTGCCCTTTCTGAATGAGACACCGGTTTCTCTCACACAACTGAATACCACCATACTGCTAAGTTGGAGAGACTTGCTTGCAAACCAGCTTCCTGGGGGTGCCGCTTTGACTTTCTGCTTCCCCAGTGGGCCTCCAGTGAAAAGTGCGTTTTCTTAAGGGTGAAGAGCAATGATGGGCACTGACTACTACCGTCATGCTCTGCGGAGTGAGCTGATGTTTTGTGGAAGAAATACTGAGTCTGATTTGGGGCTGTCAGGTGTCCCTTCTTCTTTTTTGCCTCTGTGAGTCCTGCATCCTATCTCCCTCTGTTAGGAGGTATGTGCTCGAGACAGTCATGGCAGCGTCAGTGACACAATAGATCCGAGAGAAGAACACGCATGGTATAGATCCCCATATGTGGTGTGTGCCAACTTTGACGTAGGATGAGTACCGAACAATGAGCCATCCTCTACTTTTTCAACTAATTTTAGGGAAAGAGTAACTTGGGGAAATAAAAGACTATATATATATTTTTCATCAATTCAGTTTGTTCTTTTCCCCTGCTGGTTTTATTTTCTATTCACATAGATTTAAAAAATCAAACAGGAGTTAGTCAAGCAGAACCTGGGGGCACTGAATGAAAGGAATGAAAATATCCCATGAAGGCTGAGCAAAGTCAGAAAATCAAAACCTTGGAGTGACTGGCTTGAAGCCATTGTGAAGAAGCTGTTGAGTACAGTTTTCAATGTACTTTGTAAGCTGGAAAGAGTCCCAGAGGGGTTCCTGATGGCAGGAGAGACACGGCTGTTGCATGAACTTTAACTACATCCTGGTCTTGGCATCACTAGACATAGGACTCAGAAACCTTCCTGGTGTGCAAATGCCTTTCCAAACAACTCTAAGCTGCCTCAGCTCATGCAGTATTGATTGGAGTAAGTTTAGTTCTGTTGAAGGAATAATGATTTCTTCAGACACTGAAGCCCCTTATGACCACACTGGAAGAAGCTTTAAAGAACTATGCTGTTAACATTCCCATTAGGTGGCAAGTCTCACTAAGTGTCTCTACTGAATGGAATTTCTTGTTATATATCCAGGCTCTTTTGGCAGCATTTTGATTATATGTGAGCCCTTAGTATCAAAATACATCTAAATGACAATCACAGCTAAACTTGCTTCCCTTCTGTTGATGATAATGAAACATGCATTGGAGCAATATTGGTTCAGTTTACATAGTCTCGCTGTTCTAGAAGAGTGCTAATTTGGTTTGCAGTCATAGTTTCTACTTGCATGCTGAGGCAATATATATATTCATAAAAACCTCAAATAAACCCAACCCTGGTTACTTTCCTTTTGCCCCCAAACCAGTATTGACCCAGTCTGGGTTTTACCTCTGTCTATCCCAAGTAACCCTATGGGGTTTGGTGAGTGCACCCCAGTGGGGATGGGCAGAGGGTCTTGCCTGTTTGGCATGTGGAAATGTTTTGGAGGGCTTAGCTCAGGGCCCCTACAGACCCTCTCCACCCAGCCCTCTCTCCTGAAATCTATTTCTCTAAAACACTCACCTTACCAGGCAGGATCCCAGTAAGTCCAAGGTAGGCTGAAGGTCACAGCAATGATTTCATTAGTTTACCTCTTGCACTTAAGAGGCAAAACTCAGGCAGAAGCTTGATGCGCCTCTTCAAATAGGTATTATAAATATGCTAGAGCTATCCCTGAAAAGATGCAGTTGTATTTATATATATCATTATATATATATAATATTTCTTTCTTTGTATTTGTATACAGGTCTGTATTACTCTATAGACATGGAAGTAGGGGTATTATAGTACAGAAACAGGCGGGGGGTGTTCATGTGCATCTATGTATAATATGTATATTTTATATGTATATACACAGCCTCTGTATTGTTTGCTTCATTACAATGAATGTACCTCCCACCAGCAAGGAGTACCTGTCAGTGGTAAGTGGTGAGACATCTCAGATGGACAGTTCCCTGTCTCTTGAGTGAACCCATTTCAGTGGGCTGGGGTGGATGCAACCTGTGAAGTGAGCAGGTCCATTGGGAGTCCACCCCTCTTCACGTCTGCCAAGGAGGGACACTCCACATGCCTGGCGCCGTGTGCCAGCTGACTCTTCTCAAGACGTCAAGGAGCCCAGAACCCAGAGCGAGGAGGGATCATCAAGATATGGCTTTTCATGCTAGATGGAGACTGGGCACACAAGAATTCTGTCTTCCAGGAGGACGCTGATCACAAGGAACACGAAGTAGAGGCCAAACATGATGAAGCCCAGCACTTTGTTCATGCGCCATTTGCAGAGGGCGATGGAGAGAATGACGAAGAGCAGCATGATGAAGAGGAGGACGATGGCACAGAAGAGGCCATTGCTGCTGACGGCCACGGGCTGGAACCTCTGAATGATGGTGTACAGGAGCCAGGGCAGTGGGAGCCTGTGAGGGAGAGAGCAGGGTTGGCAGGCAAGTGGCAGGTGTGCTGAAGGAGGCCTATGACGAAACATCAGCTTCTCGGAATCTATCATCGGAAAAATGTGTCTTGTTTGGCTCACTCTGCCCGGGGCATGTCTGGCCCAGGAAACCACTGAAGGAGGTCAGGGGAACTTTAGAAACCTTTATCTGTTACTGACCAAATTAGAATGGAGAGAATTTGTTCTGCAGTTGAATAAAATCAAAGATATGACGGTGGCAGGTGATTTCTAAATTAGATTTGAAATAATTTTTATTTCTTTTCTTGTTGAGAAGAAAATATCACTCTCGCATGTAAAGAAGTGAACTAGGGGATTTGGGTGAGAGAAGGAGAAGACAAATGGAGAAAAGATAAGGAAATCAGGAATGAAAATGGCAAAATTATTTTATGAAATGGAGAGAGAGAATAGCAATGACTTAATTAACAACCTAAAAAGCGAGTGAAAATAAATGATGATGGTCGGGGCCAATACATATCACTGCCTGGAGTTTATGTTGGAAAAGATGGGACAACCATTTCACTAAAAAATGATCTTTCTGAAAGATTTGAGGAAGACAGTAACTGACATTTGTAATTTTAAAAAACTTTATTATGTATTTTTATCCTTGGTCTTTCCCTTTGCATTTGAATTTTAAAACGTGATAACATCTTTTGTTTCCTAACCAGAATAATGACTCTGAAATACACCAGGAAAGCTAGCCAGGTACACCATAAAAGAGTGGGCGAGGGCTCTGTGGGAGAGGTTCATGGCTGAAAAAGCACGACTCAAGACTCGGTGGTGTGTGCCTCCCCACGTGGCTGAGTGAGAAGCAGCCAAGTTCTATCCATCGAGCCTAATCATGGAATGCTGTTTAGGGAAACTGGAGCCCAGCTACCCAGTGGGCTGCACCTTCTGCAGAGCCTAAGGCTAAGGGAGATACATTTTTGGCCTAGCCTCAGTGGTGTGGAAGAGAAAACGCCCTTTCCAAACACAAACTTGTCCAAAGAAAAAGCATATAGCTTGAGAGAGATAATGAGGTGAAAGGGGCATTAAGTTTAAACATCTGTCTCCTCTGCTAGAGAGAGTGGGCGTGTGAAAGCACAGCCTTCATGTTATATATCTTTGAAGTCCCAGGGCCTGGCACATGCAGGTGCATATGTGAACCTGGGCCAAGCCGAAGTGATTGATGTGACTGCCTCATGGCAATCAATTGCAGGCACTTGGACCCCTAGAGCCAGGCTGGGATGTGCTTACCACAGTGGAGATGTCAGGAGGGGAGGGGTCAACAGGGCCACTGCAGGAAATAAGGTGCAATTTCAGCTCTTGGCAGGAGGGGGCAGCCCTGGCACTTTATGGCAGCAATGGAAAGTCAAGAAAGGATAGGGGAGTGCCTGTTGGTGATGATACAAAAACCTCTCTGGGGTCCACACTTCCCATGGTTCGTTAAGCTAGACACACACACTCACATAATGGCACTACAAATAGGTAAAAACCCTTTGGGGGGAAAATGACATTTTTCATACCTGTAACCAATCAGTTCTACTATCAGTGATAGAGCATAATAAATAATTCAAAACGAAGACACAACTTTATCCAGGAAAATGATGATTTCAGTGTTATTTTGAATAGTGAAAAATTTGGTATACCTTAATCTCTAATAAAGGGAACTTGTTAAATAGCAAAATATTAAGTTGATGTAATTGATGTAGTTATTAAAAGTTATCAACTATGAAGATATAGGCAAATAGTTATAATATATTTAAAGTTAAGGATATAGACAAGGATTTAGACCCTTATCCTCCTAGGTCTAAACATTATCCTCACAGCCCTATATTCTCTATATATGCTAATTATAACCCAACAAGGTAAACATACCCAACACATCAATAATATTCTTCCCTCTTATACACGAGAAGGATATATATAAAATAAAAATGTATTTAATAATGTGAAATATATTATTATACATTTAAATGTGAATGTATTTTAATAATATGAGATAAATATATACATTTAAAAAGGGTGATGGATTATCACTGATTTTTATTTACGCTTTATATGTATTGTCTAAATCCTTTACTGTGAGTATATGTTAATCTTAAGCAAAAAAATGTAGGCAAAACTATAAATTTTATACTCAATATATTGCCAAAAACTTTATAAATTGATATAACTCTTGGGAAAAAGTTTTGGAAAAATATACACCAATAGGCATTAAAATGATCATAATGTTTAATTCATTAATATTTCTTGAAGAAATTTATTCTAATTAAAATAACTAGCAGAGGAGGTTTTTCTGCATAAAATAGCTTGTAGACACACTCATAATACTAGAAAATTAAAAAAGATAACAGGTCTTACTAAAGGATAATGGTTAAACTGAAAGGCAACAGGGTGGAATATTTTAAAGCCATAAAATGTTAATTATGAGAGCTATGAAAAAGCTTAGCATAATGGTTGATTTACTAATTTACTAACAGATGCCTACTCCATGCCAGGCATAAATGCCTTTAAAATGGAAAAAAAAAAAAAAAAGCCCTGGCTGGTGTAGCTCAGTGGACTGAGCGCGGGCCTGCGAACCACACGATGGCGGTTCGATTCCCAGTCAGGGCACATGCCTGGGTTGCATGCCGGTTCCCTGCAGGCCAGTTCCCAGCAGGGGACGCACAAAAGGCAACCATACATTGATGTTTCTCTACCTCTCTCCTTCCCCCCCTTCCCCTCTAAAGATAAATAAATAATAAAATATTTAAAAAAATGGAAAAAAAAAAGTCCTCCAAGAGGACAAAACTGAATATTCCCTAAGAAAACTTTGTGAAATATTTAGAAGGAAACATATGAAAACTAAATGTTTTTCTTGGCTAGCAGAATTAGTTTCTTTGAACTCTCATTTGATGCAAAATATGCAATTTAAGAATAATGAACAAAAAGCATCTCGAAATTTCCTAGAATACTTATTGTTCAAAAACATGACAAGTATGTTAGAACATTTATAATTGTTGTCAATTTTTAGGATTTTCTTTTATACTATAGACTATTTTGTTTTACTTTTTAGAAGAGAGTGACAAAGAAAACTACTTTAAGTGTGTAGGCAGTAGAAGTGAGGAACACTGTTTATATTAGGGATACCATTCTTTTAAAACAAATACCTTTCAAGATATCCATCCATTCACCCACCTGTTTGCCCATTCATCTATCATCCATCTTACTAACATTTGTTGAGCTACTAGCATCCTCTAGGCAATGTTTTAAGTTTTGGTGACTTCTTGCTTTTGGGGAGTTCACAGTCTAGCAGGCAGACTGGTGTACATGACCATGACAAGAGTGCGGTCTGCAGAAAGTAGACAGAAGCAAAAGCTCCAAGGTCAGGCCCAGGAGAGTTAGAGAAGCCCTCATCTGAGTTGACATTGGAAGGATAAGTTGGAGTTTTGCAGGCAGGGAGACTTCTTGAGTGACAGGGCCAACAAAGAGAGGAAGTGTGGTAGGAGAGGGCACCTTTGGAACTTAAAGGTGGTTCAGAGAGTGGAAACTCAAAGCAGAATTTTATGCATAGACAGTGCTACAGTTGAGAGCGCAGACTGTTCAAATCCCAGCTACCTCTTTCACTCATTGTATGCACTCTGTGCCCTTCAGTTTCCTTATCTGAAAAATGGGGATGATAAAATATCTTATGGATCTCTATGTGGTATAAATGGATAAAAATATAAGTACAAATATAGTACTTATATAAAAATAAATGCAAATATATAAGTGCAAATATATGTACATATATGCATATGGTAGACACTGAATGAAAAAATATTATCATATATTAGGTAATGGAAGGGTTAAGAGGAAACAATATTTAAGAAGTTCAATGAGAGAGAAGGTCCATTTTAGTGAGTTTCCAAATTAAAGTGTCAAGAGCTGTTCTTCTGTGATACAATAACATCCCATGTTTTACTTTCTCAGGTTATTTATCAGACTAATTATACTTTTGACAAGTTAAATGAAATAGAAGTAACAGCACCCTTCCCTAATCTGATCCACTTTAGAGATTATTCGCATCGAGAGCTCTAGTTTGCTTAACTGTAAGAACAGATTTTGTCTTCTGACTTTCAGAAAAACTGAGAATATCTTCACCAGCACAGATAAACAAATAATAATGCAAACCTACCAGCATTTTCCAAGGAAGGAGATGAGATATTTTTCTGGGCCTATGTTTGTTCCAATCTGCTTTACAATCTAAATCTCATCTGAGGCTGCTAGGGACTTCATTTAGAGTTAGAATATGAAGAAATATATAGTGAATCTACCAGATCATCTCAGTCATGCCTGATCATTGAATATCATAACACATAGCCAAGGCAATTATATAAGTGAAGTTCTCTTAAAATATTTCCTACAACATCCATTCTGTATGCAGGAATGTGTTTCTGCCTGTACAGGGTTAATTTATTCTTCATTAAGTTCTCTGAAAATGAAAAATGGAGTTGATGAAACTGAATGTTACTCCCAGTCTTTACTTTCTACTGATATTAACTAGTTTTGGGCTCAGAGGTCCTGGTCGTGTCTTCACAGCTTCGAAGACGGTGATGAAGTTGGTGTGTACCCTTATAGAACTATCTCTACTTACCCTACAGTGATATCAAAAATATTGCTTCCAACAGAGCTGGATACAGCCATGTCCCCAAGCCCCTTCCGGGCCACTATGACGCTGGTGATAAGATCAGGGATGGAGGTCCCAGCAGCCAAGATGGTCAGACCCATAATCTCCTCACTAATGCCAATTGTCTCTCCAACCTAAAAGCAATGACAGTGACAAACATATGAGTGTTTGTAGTCACAAAACATCAAAAACACAAACATCTCAACACAACTCTCTTTTAATGATCTCCTATTCTGGGCTGTGCTGAGTGCTGAAATGAGCCACAATCACTGCCATAGAGTTGAGGACACTCAGACCCAAGAGATTGGGAATGTTCATGTAAGGGAGAAACAGATCATCTCAAAAAAGAGCTGTAGAGGGCTAGAGGGCAGCTTCTATATAGGGTTTATTAAGACAGGGGAAGCAGAAAATTAGTTATAAAAACCAACTGGGCACTGGCTGGGTAGCTCAGTTGGTTAGAGTGTTGTTCTGATACACCAAGGTTGTGGGTTTGATCCTTGGTCAGAGCACATACAAGAATCAACCAGTGAATGCATATATAAGCAGAACAACAAATCAAGTTTTTTTCCTCTCTCTCCCCCACCCTCTCTCTCTCTAAAATCAATAATAAAAAAACCCCCAATTGGTCAGAGTCTTCAGGAGCCAGTGCCTGATAAAGGCACCAAATCCTGTGGCTGATGCTCTTGGATTTACCATAGAAGGTTAACAGGTTCCACACAGCATTCTCATTTCCCCTGAACATATTCTAGTGTCTGTAACCTACTCTTAAACACTTAAGACTGCCATTTCCAAAGGAGACTTGATTTGGGGTGGTTTTGTTTTGGTAATACAGAATTGTAAATCAACAAGGCAGCAGTGAGGAAACCATCTTTTAGTCAATCAGAGGGCCTCGATCCAAGGTCTGACTCTGGCATCTATTAAGTACTTGCCCTACTGCTAATTGAAGACATTGTGCAATATATTTGATCCTCATTTTTTTAATTTATGAAGTGGCATTGATCATAGCTACCTTCAAGGTGGCTGTGAGGACTAAATGATAATTTGTGGGAAAGCCTTTAGTAAATGGTACGCATTGGTAAAAAAGGTGAAGAGCAAGGGGGGATTATATTTTCTTTGCCTTTTAACACTCTAATTTTACATACACAGTTGGTCTAGTCTCAGATGGAAGTTCCTCCATTCTAAGGAGCAACTTGTCTTCTAGGGGCTTTGAAAAGCTTTACATAGTTTCTGGAGTTGGTGAACTGAAAACCTTTAAGATAATGCTTTCAATTTGGTTTCCAACAGCCTACCCAATGACATCTGGCATTTTTGAAAAAAAAATTTAAAGGGCAGAGGTAGCATATAAGGATAAAGTCTTTCAAGGAATAGAATAAACTCATTTCTAAATACTTATAAAAAATTTATAAGTGATAGCTTAGTTCTCACTAGCTCAGAAGCACAGTTGGGAGCTATTTTTATTTTGATGGCCATGCCTGCTTTAGAGCCTGGCAAGCTACCTTACCCTGTCCTCACAGTGCAGAGATTCATGGCTCCCTGACAGAAAGGAAGTTCCATGCAAGCAGGATTGTTGGTTGTTCACTGTGGTTTTCCTGTTACTCAGAACACAGCCTGGCATATAGCAGGCTTTCAGTACCTATTTGCTAAATAAATCAATCAATCTGTATACGTCGATGGTTTTCCTAGCATGCTTTTTACTGATTCTGTTAGAAAAACTTAAGTAAAAGTTTTGCACAGGAGTTTCCCATTTGAGCAAAATAATCTCCTTCATGATCTCTTACTAGATATGGAGAGAAACATTTTCAAAGACTGTAAAGAAGCTGACTGAATGGTTGTCACCCTTAATGAGTTCCAAACTATTTAATACACTATTTATAATTTAAATTCTTAGAGGGAGTTCTAAAGCTGTGACTGTTTCAAAAACGGTCTATAGGTGGAGTTTGAATGCCACTACAGCAGAAAAGTGCAGGAATTAAAGAAGATGGTATAGTGGGTGTGGTTAAGGGCGTTGGCTTGGGATCTAGAGAACTCCACATGCAAATCCTTGCCTGTCACTCCTGGTGCAAAGTAGGCAACTCCCCTGAGGCTCAATTTTCCCCATCTGTGAAATTGGGATAATAATATCCACCTTTAGAGTTGTGATAATTATGTGCAATGATGCTTGTAAAGCAGATAGCACATCGTTAGAAATAAAGTAAATGTTCGATTAAGTATGAGCTCTGATAACTCAGATGTTGCTCCTTCCTCTCTTTCACTTGGTGCGCAGCCATCAGGGCTCTGGTGGCAGAGACAGAAGCTGGTTTCATGGCGTCAGTCCTTAGCGTAGAAAATCACATGAATAATGAAGAATTTTCATTGTATATCAAACCCCTGATGAATCTGTGTGGCTCTAGAAATGCTTTCAGTGAAGGAGAACTTCTACATAAGCTCACTGAAGTGACTGATCAATCAGAGGCAAGGTGATGGGTACTCGGACAGGACAGCACCCAGGATCACTTTGGGGAGCACCAGAGAAGGTTAGAGCTAGAAGGGACATCAGGAAACTCTTGGGGGGGAATTCCTTGTTTTCTAAGAGAAGTAATAATAGAACCACTCAGAATCCAAATCCAGTGCTGTTTTTAATATTCTGTGATGCAGTTCCCTGCCTTGGTTTAGGGAGGATTTGCAGAAATGTCATATTGACCAAATGAGACACAGGGTCCTATTTGACTTTGAGAATTAACTTCTCTTATTAGATGCAATATAGATTTTAACCACAGGTTTTCACCATCCATGAAATTTACTAGGGTAAAGACTCATGATACAAAAACATAAAAATAACAAAAACGAAGGAACAATATGCATGAAGTGTTGCACGTGAAGGGCATTTATTTTTGGCCAAATAGTAGCCAAATAATTGTATCAAATAGCACTTACGATTGCTAAAACTGTGGGTACCAAAATAGTTTAACACTAAATGGTGTCGTTATCTTTATAGCTTTTATAGTTCAAAGGCACAAATGATGGAATTAGAGCTAGACTTGGAACAGAATCTGCTCTTTTGATCAGCTGTGTGAGTGGTTTGAAAGGGAAAACATTTCTAGGGGAGGAAAGAAAGAGATACTTCTCATCCATTGTTGGAAAGCAATGCTTCTCTTTATATTTCTGGAACTTTCTGTAACTATTATTTCTCTAGGCATCTTATTTGTGTTTTTTTTTTTACACAGAATAAAAAGGGAACAAGACTGCAGCATTAAGATGATCATTACACAGAGCAGGACGGAAGCCTGTACAATAATGTTTCCTAGGATGGCTACACAAATGGCAATAAAACAACATATTCCAGCAAGAGAAAAACAGCCCATTTTTTTCATTAGCAGTACATGAAAGAATAAAAATGATTGTTGGGAGAAGCCATTACATGTTATAAGTGGAAAACAGTTATTTTAGCCTGGAAATCTGAAGGCTGAGAAGCAGCCCACCTCCACAATAATTCTTGCCAGGTATGACTCTCAATGAATGTGGAAAATAATGACTTTGGGGACAAAAAGAGAACTTCAGGGGACCAGTGATTTTGGGGAAATACCCAAGAAGAATAATCTGAAGTCAAATGTCATTAAAATAACTATGATAATAATATAAAATATCTTGTGGGAATAACTTGGGGAATATCAGCCCACATTTCCAGTGATTTTTGTTAGTGATTCCTTTTTAATTCCCCGTACTCCATACTCCTTAGCAGTCTCTGCCCCCTTACCTCTACTTCCCCCAAACAAGGCAACCACTAACTTGCTTTCTATCTCTACAGATTTGCCTGTTTTTTACATTTCATATAAATGGGATCATATAACACATGATTTTTGATGACTGGCTTTTTTCAAATAGCATAAAATTGAGAGGTTCACTTACATTGTAGCATGTATCACTATTTCATTTCTTTATATTGTGGAATAATATTCCATTAAATAGATAGTCCACATTTTAATTACCCATTTATCAGTTTGATAAACACTTGGGTTGTTTTCATTTTGGGGGGGTTGTTGCACTATGAATAATACTGCTATGAATATACATGTGCAAATTTTTATGTAGGTGTTCTCATTTCTCTTGGGTATACATCGAGAGTGGAATCACTGCACTGGATCATATGGTAACTGGATGTTTAACATTTTGTGGAACTGCCAAACTGTTTTCCAAGGTGACTGCACTATTTTACATTCTTAGCAGCGGTATAAAAGGGTTCATTCCAACACTTGTTTTTGGCTGTCTTTTTCATTATACCCATCTTGGTGTGAAGTTGTATCTCACTGTGGTTTTGATTTGCATTTATCTAATACATAATGATGTGGAGGATATTTTCTCATGTTTATTAGCCATTTGCATATTATCTTTGATGAAATGTGTACTCAAATCTTTCATCCATCTTAAAACTTAGGATGCTTGTAGATGTCTTCTTATTATTGAGCTCTGAGAGATTTTTACTTATCCTGGATATAGTGCTTTATCAGATATTTGTATATATCTGATATATACATATATTATACAGATATTACATAATATCTGATATATTATACATATGTATATCAGATATATATGTATAATTTGTATACATATAACTTAGAAATATTTTCTCTCAGTCTGTGGTTTATTTTCTCATTTTTATTTTTAAGTATATTTTATTCATTATGTTATTACAACTGTCCCATTTTTTTTCTGCCCCTTATCCTGCCTCATCCCTGTACCCCCCTGTCCTCTAGCATCCCTCCCCCAAGTTCATGTCCATGGGTCATACATATAAGTTCTTTGGCTTCTCTATTTCCTATTCTTAACATTCCCCTGTCTATTTTATGCTACCAATTATGCTTCTTATTCCCTGTACCTTTCCCCTCAATTCTTCTCCTTCCCCTCCCCACTGAGAACCCTCTATGTGGTCTCCATTTCTGTGATTCTGTTCCTGTTCTAGTTGTTTGCACAAATGGACAACTTGTCCAGGGCTATTGGCAAGATTATAGGGACAAAGAGATGTGAATTGCCTGACACATAGTTCACAATCAGTAAGGGTACCGCTATTATCTCCGAGAACATAAAATCTTTGCATCTCATTCTTCCATTCATATGTTACAACAAACAGTTCCTGAGAGTTTCTTCTTTTGATAGGCATTATGACTAGTATTGAGTTAAAAATGGCAAAAGTGAAATACATCACCACTTTTATAAACTAAGGCTCAAGGAACAGACCATTTGGTCTGTACATTTTTCCTAAGAGCCAATGGAACTGCCTTATGACCCAGCAATCCCACTTCTGGGAATATAACCAAAGAAACCTGAAACACTAATTTGAAAGAATATATGCACCTCTGTGTTCACTGCACCATTATGTACAATCACCAAGATATGGAATCAGCCCAAGTGTCCATCAATAAGTGGATAAATAAGCTGTGGTACATATATACGATAGAATATTACTCAGCCATAAAAAGAATGAAATCTTACTATTTGTGGCAACATGGATAGACCTAGAGTATATTATGCTAAGTGAAAAAAGTTAGAGAAATACAAATACCATATAGTTTTACTTATATATGGAATCTAAAGAACAATATAAACTAACAAAACAGAAACAGACTCATAAATAAAAAGAACAGACTGATGGCTGTCAGATGGGAGGTGGGGTTGGAGGCTAGGTGAGAAAGGCGAAGGATTAAGAAGTACAAATTTGTAGTTACAAAATAGTCACAGGGTTGTAAACTATGGCATGGGGAGTACAGTCAATAATATTGTAATAACTATGTATGGTGCCAGGTGGGGACTGGAAATATTGGGGGTAACACTTTGTAAAGTATATGACTGTCTAACTGTTACTGGGGAGACCCAAATCAGGGTGCTTCCCCTCCTTGGTTCTTACTAATCACTATGCTGTACACCTGAAACTAATACAAAATAATACTGAATATAAACTGTAATGGAAAAAAACAAAGGAAGGCTGTTTAGAAGGTAAGTAGGTACCCAAGAGAAAGTAAGTGCCACTTACTGAATCAGGCAAAACCTCGACATTCCTCCCAGGCCTGAGCTAGCCTGGTTTCAGGCTGTAGAGAGAGGGCAAGGAGTAATCAGGCTTGCCTGCCTTCCTTCACATGCCTGACCGGGTCTATGCAGATCTGACTCCAGGCCAGGAGACAAGGGAAAGTTAAGTGGAATAAATTTCTTTAGTTCTCAAATACTTAACTTGTCTCATCAGATGCAATACTGTCATGACAGTCTCAGAAGGCAAACACGTTGATTAACAATTTACAAGAGAAACAAAGGGAAAAATAAAGAAATGGGACTACATCAAAATAAAAAGTTTTTGCACAGCAAAGGAAACCATCAACAAAACAAAAAGATAACCCACTCTATGGGAGGACATTTTTACTGATACATCTGATAAGGAATTAATATCCAAAATTTATAAGGAACTTAAAAAACTCAGCACCAAAAAACAAAACAAAACAAAACCTAAAACCATCCAATTAAATGGATAAAGGACCTAATGAGATACTTCTTCAAAGAGAACACACAGAAAGCCAGAATGGCTATTATCAGTAAGTCAACAAACGACAGCCCTGGCTGGTGTGGCTCAGTGGATTGAGTGCTGGCCTGTGAACTGAAAGGTCACTTGTTCAATTGCCAGTTAGGGCACATACCTGGGTTGCAGGTCAGGTCCCCAGTTGGGTGCATGTGAGAGGCAACTGATTGATATATTTCTCACATATTGATGTTTCTCTCTCTTTCCCCCCCTTCCCCTCTCCCTAAAAAGAAATAAAATATAAAACAAACAAACAAACAAACAAACAACAAGTATTGGCAGGGATGTGGAGAAAAGGGACCCCTCACGTACTGTTGATGGGAATGCAGATTTGTGCAGCCACTGTGGAAAGCTATATGAAGTTACCGCAGACAAATAAAAAATGGAACTGTCTATGAGCCAGTGATTCCACTTCTGGGAAGGTATCTGAAGAATTGTTAAAGTCAGTCAGAGAAAGACAAATACCATATGATGTCACTTATATGTGGAATCTAATGAACAAAATAAACTAACAAAGTGGAGACAGACTCACCGATACAGAGAACAGACTGATTACTGTTAGAGGGGAGAGGGTTGGAGGCTAGGTGAGGAGAGTGAAGGAATTAAGCAAAGAAAAAAAAGAAATACTCGTGGACACAGACAACAGTATGGTGATTGCCAGAGAGAAAGGTGTGGGGGATGTAGAAGAGGGTAAAGGGGTGATAAATGGTGATGGAAGGAGATGTGACTTGGGGTGGTAAACACAAAGCACAATAGGCAGATGATATTGAATAGTATACTTGATACCTATGTAACTTTATTAACTGATGTTACCCCAATAAGTTCAATAAAACATAAATTAGAAAAACAATTTAGCAACACCAGGTAGATGGTACCATTATCAGGGTCTTACCTGGTGTGCCCACCAGACCATTAAGTAAGAGAATATTGCGATCCAGGTGATGGCTCCAAAGAACGTGACGGGAAAAAACTTTCTTGCTGACTGAAAGAGAACCAGGAAGAGGGGAGAGTGTCAGTGCTCAAAGCTGAGGTGGATCTATCCGTAGTCCAAAGCTAAATCCAGCAATGCAGCTTGCAGTCTTGGTAGTTGTGGCAATCAAAAAGCCCTACCTTTGGTCAAGCTGGGATAGTAAGATTCTCTCTTGGCAACGTGAAATTGGTTAGAGCCAAGTCATTGCAAAGTTAGCGCCTGGGATGGAAATCTCTTGAGGAGAATGTCTAATCCTGCTGCTGGTTGCTCAGATGCCCTTTCCAGGGCTTGGTTTCTCAGCCTTGCCTTTGATCTATTAACTACTCAATGTCCTCCCTCCCTCTCCTGTTCCCTTTTCTTTCTTCTGCTCAAGACATTTCAATCAGTTTCTATTCCTTCAGCCCAATGTATCATAATCCATATGCCAGAAAACCTATGGGATTAATTACTTTTTACAAGAAATGAAAAGACTCAAAAATAGATCAGGTTATCTTACAGTCCCATGAGAGGTCAGGAAAAGCCAGCAGTTTCTATAGATCCCTGATGATGGCCAGTCCAGGATGCCTGAACCACATATGTAGACAGGACAGACAGATAGATGCCCAGCTATGTTGCTCTCTGTGGGGTGGCAGAGTAGGTGCTCTTGGGGGTGTTTGCTGTCCTGTTCTCCATTCCTAATTATATTACTGTCTAATTCTGCCTCAACCATTTGACTTTGTGCAATCTCACACTTAAAGTATGAGCACTTAAAAATTTCCTCCAAACATCAGCCAGAGTCGGATACTCAAAATGCTGTGTTTCTTACCTGACCCCACCCTAGGGAGATCCAGGCTTGTGTTAGTATTGGGGATTTTCTGTGGAGATCCTTTTTGCAAAATGTTCTCAGAGAGCCTATCACCTATTATTGCCAAACACTTTTTATTTCAAAGCATTCCACTTTGAATAACAATCTATTATTATTATTATTATTTGCTTTGATAATGCCACCCAATTCTGTCCAAAGAAATGAATCCTGGAGTTGCCGGGAATGAAAACTATCTCAGTTGTCTGGCGGGCTGACCTTGGGCAGCCACGTAGAACACTTTTTGCCATGCTTCTGAGAAACCCATTAAAAGGAAAAGACAAATTTTTACACAGTGATCTTTTGAACATCCACAAGGCAAACAGTCTCTATTGCTCCAAACCAGGCTTATGTTCTCTTTACTAATTTCAAGTTTTCAATATGTTTTCATTATCATTCCCACAGTTCTGTGAAATTTCACGATAATGTCGCTCTTGTAGTAATTGCTGGCTTGGGGGGGTCATTTGTTAGCCGGGCTATCTGGAAGGCAAGTGGGCTTGATAGAACTGGGGAGGCAGCAGATCACAGTGAGTAGCCAAAAAGTTATTCACAAATGCTTCCCCACATCCCTCCCCTTTCTTAGAAGGAAAATATTTTGGCCAAAGTTTCAGACCCCTTTTGGGGATGTGAGCAGTTTAATAGGTTATGAGAAAAAAAGTAATCAATTTTTCAAAGTGGAGGTTGAGACATTCACTTTTGAAAACAAATTCCCGTAAAGCAGGGAGTTCAGCTGGATTCTGGAGACCAGATTCCCTGAGCCTCGGAATTCTTAGCACTTGGATTGCCAGTGCTAAGAAATTAAGTGGTCCCAGCAAAGCATTTAGCTGATTACAGTCCTCATCCTTTTTTTTCCAGTCACAGATCACTGTTTCTGGATCCTAAGTGCAATGAGGGTTTCGTCTCCTATGGCTAGGGTCTGTCACAGGGGGGGAGGAAGGCCTTGTTTATGGTGTGGGGGCACACACATGGTTGAACAGCAATCAGTGGGCTTGATTCTGAGGGTCCTGTGGAGGGGGACGAAGCACCATCTCCACACCTTGTGGAATGGCGTATCTTGGGAGACTCTCATTTCACAGATCGCTCCCTTGCAGGTTAGCTCATTTGCTAAGTATGTAGTTATTTTACTTTCTGTACTTTTGCATGTCTGTCCATTGATAAATGTTACAACTCAGAATCAAATCATTTTAATACTTTTCTCATCTAAAAAATATCATCCCTGAACCATAGAACATCCTCAGTCAAAAGGTAGAAAGTAAGGAATCAGACTAAGGATTTAAAGCAACTAAGTTCAAAACAATATTAGTGAAAATATCTCTAATTCAAAAATGCTTATGATTCTTAATCAGGAAGCTAATTAGTAATAAATGGACAACTAAATGGACATTGGTCTACTGTTATATTGGGGGCTCATAAAAAAAGGTTAAAAATAACTCTTCAGGTCTTCATCATTAACTAGTGGTAGGTAAGGCTGGCCCCCTACTCTGTACCCAAATCTTGAACTAGTCAAAAAATTCAAACCTAGGTCTGCCTGACTATACAGCACATGTTCCTAACATCTAGGTTTTACCAACTCTTTCCAAAAGAAAAACAGGGCCAATAATACTCAAAATATACCTAGCTACAGACATATCATCATCATCATCATTATAATACTGGCCTATGCTCTGAAGGACAGAAAATATAAAGAACATTTGGGAAATATAGACTAGCATTCCAGCTGTATGGCCATCTGCTGCGCTCAACCTCCCCTGTTGTTCCTGCTTTGGAAGTGACAACCCTTCATGCATCAGCAGTTCGGTTAAGTGTTTCCCAACTGTCAGCCTACCTTACCATTTCCAGATTCATAGCTCAGGTTATTTCTTCTTCTCTCATTTTTTTCTGAACTGTTTCCCTTACTTGGACCTACAGTCTCATTCCACACATCACTGCCCAGGAGCACCTGGGCAGTTATTTAGTTACCAGTCCCCATGGAAGGAAGAGAATATCCCTTGCAGCCAAAGTCTGACATGTCAGTTTATGGTTAGTAATGGTGGCTCATCCTGACATCTGCTGGGATGGGTCTAACACTAATTAGCAAAAAGCAAATTGTATCCATGTGCCGGCCATTTTGTTCCCAATGTAATAGTTTACTTGTATAATTGACAGCTAATGTTCTCATTAGAAGCGTTGAGTACATCAGAGTGATATTTTCTTGGCTTGCAAAACATTGCTGAACATTAGCTCATTGCACAAATTAGCCACATCCTTACTGATTTAAACTCAACAAATATTCACTGAGCATCTACTCTGTGTAAAAGTCTGTGGCATACGTATTTAACAAAGACCTCCAAAACAATCCTATTAAAGGTTAAAAATATGGTTTCTGAATTAATAGGACTGGTATTAAGATCCCTGCTCACCATTTAGCAGTGATGTGCTCTGGGACAAATAATTTCATCTCTTTAAGCCTCAATTTCTTCATTTGTAAAATGGGAGAATAGCAATATCTAATTAGTTTGAGGATTTATGCACAAAAAGCATCTAGCAGAGTGCCTGGCACACAATAAGTGCAGGGAGGAGAAAGTGACTGTGGAGACCTGGCCTACAGTCTTAGCTCTACTTCTTATTGGTGTGCTTGGATAGGACACCAAACCTCTCTGGGTTTAGTGATCATTTAATCCTTGCTAGAACTGTGCTTGCTATATAGTGGACATAATACATCTACTTGGTGAATGAATCAGTGTATGATAAAAATTGCAAAAACTTGCTGGGTATCTCAGGTATCCTTGTAGCCTGGTGAGTCATGTTTGGTATCTCATTAGATGTGTGACTGATTTGCAAGAACGCCCATCCTACGCCATGAAAGAATATAACTTTTAGGGTTTTAATTTCCTTTATTATTTTCAATTTTCATCAAGGATATGTTCCTAATTAAGGCTTTTTAGTTTTTTTTTTAACTTCAAAACAAACACTTAATTTAAGAAAACAATAAAAGTGAAGCCCATGCTAATTATCTAAGCTGGAAGTGTGCATAATACAACAAATACTGTCATTCGATTTGCATATAAAAAACTGGAAATAAAAACAAGTGGGAGTGCTATTTATTCTGAAACTAGAAGTATACATTTTTAAAAAAATAATTTTATTTATTTATTTTTAGATTTTATTTATCTTTAGAAGGGAAGGGAAAGAGAGAGGGAGAGAAATATCAATGTATGGTTGCTTTTCATGTGTCCCCTGCTGGGAAATGACCCCTGCTGAGAACTGGCTTGCACCCCAGGCATGTGCCCTGACTGGGAATCGAACCACGATCCTTTGGTTTGCAGGTTCGTGCTCAATCCACTGAGCTATACCAGCCAGGGCTAGAAGTATACATTTTTTTAAAAATCATGTCTTTTTCTGTAATTATTGTCACGGTTTGGGATGGTCATCTCTATGGTAATTCAAAACCTACTGAAGACAGAGTGGCCAGGCCCTGAGAAGTGACAAATGTCTATTAATTAATAATTTTTGACTTGTTTTCTCTTCTTTCTGGATAATTTTTCAAGAGGCTCTTGTGGCTGTACATGAGGAAGTGTTTTCTCTCATTTGGCATTCCATATACTTAAAGGATAACCATAGAATTCATCTCCAAACCAGTATGTTTTCAGAGTAAACTAGGATTCTCTTGGGCAAACTGGGTTGTGTGGTCACCTTAAATTTGCAATATTGTATTGAGGGTTATCTCTTTATGTTCTTTCCTTAATCACAGGATGTCATGGCTGCCAGGGAATCTAGAGATCTTCCACCCTGTATTTCACAGAAGAGAGAAAATGAGGTCCAGAGTTGACAAGAGATTTTCTCAAGGTCGCACAGCTCATGAGATGTGTCGGTAAAACTGCCGCTGTCAACAGGGTAGAATAAGCATGCTCTGGAATCAGCACTCAGGTTTGAGTCTATCTCTTCTCACCGACATGGCTGTGCACTCTTGTTCTGTAGTTAATACATGTGTGCAGCGTTTGATTCCTTTATTGAGTTTAGAGCACTTTAAAGATACAAACTGTGAATTTGACATCTTTATATCTCTTTTAGAGTAAATGGCATGTGATAGGTGCTCAATACACATTTGCTGAGGAAATCTAAAAACAACCAAATGTTCTGTCTGAGAGTCTCATTTCTGCTTGGGACAACACACAGCATATTCAGAAAAAGACAGAAAAAAATCCAGTCCACCCCAGGAATGGCACTGGCAGCTGCTATGAGCAAAAGCCCCACTGGCTAACGTAGCCCAGGCTGCAGGGGCAGGCTCTCCAGCTTTGCTGCCCAGTGAATGATCTGTCAATGGCATTGCAGAGGACAGTGCCATGGAAATTGCATTTCCTTGCTTTACAACCCTGGCAACTGTAGCATTAGCCAGAACAGTTGTCGTGACTCAGATAACTATTGCTATGGTGGAATCTTGGTTGTTGTCCAGCGGTTACTGGTTGAGAGTTCTGATTTTCTCAAACAGCTTCCTTGTCCTTCCAGCTCAGATAATGGAGAGCACTTTGTCAGCCCTTTCTATAGGAGTCCCACTCCACTCCAAGAGCCCAGGGCCTTCAGTTATTGACATGTTTCTCTCATTCCTGCACATCTTCCTGGTTGTTTCTATGGCTGTGTGTTGACATCCTTTTATTAGTCAATCAATCCATTCTCCTCTGAGCTGTTCAACTCTAGGCCTGATTTTCTTCCCTGGGGTTGAGTAAAAGTGTTGGGCTAAACAGAGCAATGGAAATATATAGAGAAAGCAAGTGAGTGAGTGAACGCATGTGAGCACACACATCTCAGAAATGTCGTGTGATGGGAGCCAAGAACAAACTGTACATATTCCAGCTATTTGGCCATGGGTTTCCAGGAGACCAGGCCTTTGCATAGAGCAGGTGCTCTGCTATTGTATTTTGAATAAGGAAATCTAAGTATGGCTTTAAGTTTACTAGGAAAATTCTCATATGGGGAGTCCTTAGACGAGGGGGTCCTTTCCTGGCCTGAACTGGATGAGACGTGGCTCTCTGCCAGGCTGGATTATTTATAGGCCAGGCTAATCTGGCAGGGGTTTTCTTTTGTCCTTTTCAAGTGAGAGAAGTGGGATCATCACAGGACTCTTAAGACTCATGCGAAATTATGTTGGCTGTTATCACAATGTTCTGTTTCAAATGCTTTTAGAAATGTTTTCAGATTTCCGTCTTCTGGTATGATGAAACGTGAGGGGAAGCCCAAGCCGTGTAGTCACACAGGCCTGAAACTGAATCTCAGCTCTATCCCCTGGGAAGCGAGCAGGCATGGGTTAGTTAACTTCTTTGTTCCTAAGTCCTTTTCCATTTATGCCAATTATTTACATATTTTCTTATATTAGCTGTTTCCTGAGATTCCACAATACATTTTATTGAAAACATGTAGGGCAGAGTCTGCTACATAGTAGACACATACTTTTGTTGAATAATAATGTGTGTGTAGGGTCATAATAGCAAGTAGGGCTTCTTCTTATCTTTCATTAGTTCCCTCACCCTTTATGGCAATGGCCTTAGAACCTGGTTTAACAACACTGGGAGGGGACCTTCTTTTGATGTGATCCACATTCAGATTATACTTTGCTGATCATAAATAAGATGGTACTAGCCCATCTTAGTACCTAGCCCATAGTACCTATGGTACCTAGGTACTATGTTCATAGTACCTAGCCCATAATAATGGTAGAAAATACTGTAGAAAATACTATGTTCATAGTACCTAGCCCATAATAATGGTAGAAAATACTGTTGATTATAGTAATGATAACAATCCAGGAAGGAGATCAGACATGCAGACATTTGTACTGCGGGAATACATTTCTTTAAATTATTTTTTGAATACAATGAATAATCCATGTACATACATATTCAATAAAATGTGAGTCACCCTCCTGCTCAGACCTTTAGTTCCCCTCCTCAGGGACCATACTGTGGTGGTTTTTAAACATGTTTGAAAATTCTTTGACACTCCCCCTATCAAGGGTGTCATGACCCGATAGAGTTTGGGTAAACTTTTTGTCTCTTCATCTTTAATCAAGACAAACTATGACTGCTCTGACCAGTGAGGTAGAGCTGTGGTGAGTCTGTGTGAGTTCTGAGGCCCGCTCATCGGGCTCCATGCACCTTCTATCTGGTGCTGCTGGAACATGCACTCTCGGGGCCCTGATCTCTTGTGTAAGACACCTGATTATCTTGAGGCCACCATGCTGTGTGGAGGCCCGAGTCACATGGGAGGACATGTTTAGGCTTTCTGGTAGACAAATCCAGCAGAGTTCCACCTTTGAATCACCTCTGCTCAAGTGCCAGAGGTGTCAATTAAGAAACCTCCAGATGACTCCAGCCCTAGCCATGTGAGTCATTGCCAGCCATTCAAGCCTTCCTCACTGAGGTCTCAGTGTGCCCTATATAAATTCCTGGTCTACAGGATTCACCAGCAACATAACACGGGGGTTGTTTCACACCATTAATTTTTGGGGTGGTTTGTTATGTAGAAGCAATAACCCAAACAGTCACAACTATCTTGTGTCTGTCCAGATAAATTTCAGGCATATATAAGCATACACATGTATTTATGTTAATCCCTTTTGCTTTAAGATCAATAGAAGCAAGCTATGCATACTGTTACATGCTGTGATTTTAAACAAGGAATCAGTTCAGAAATGCTCTACTCACAGGTTTGCGGACGTCGGGTAAGGTCATCCAAAGAGGAAGCACTATGGGAAGAACAATGAGGAAGGTGACTTGCTTGCGAGGGTTGGAAGGCCATGCCAGGCTGAGAGGCTGGTCCTCTTCATCATCACCTGATTCTGTGGGCTGCTGTAGAAAGGGAGGGAGAGAAAAAAATAACAAAACAAAAACAATGATAATGTCCATAGGCAAGAGCAAGAGCAAGAGCAAGAGCAAGAGCAAGAGCAAGAGCAAGAGCAAGAGCAAGAGGAAGAGTGGAAGCTCTGGGTCTCAGAATTCTTCCTAGGTCATCCAGCAACTTTATCCATGTGTTTTGTAGGTTTGTAAGAGAACCCCACCTGTCACAGTCTGAGTCCTGGGGGCGAGCAATACAGTGTCCAGTCCTAAGGACTTACGAACACTCTTCCTGAACACTCTTCAGCTTCTCAAATGAACTGATCATTTCAATGGAATGGGCTACAGCTGTAATCCATGAACTTTTTACGAGAAATCATATCTGCAGAGCAAAAGTCCCCAATGCCCACCTTGTCCTTCTGTCTTCTTGAGTTTAAAGCCACAGGATTCATCATAGAAATCCTTAGGAAAATATTTTTTAAAAACTTAAAAATTTTATTATTTATGTGTTTTTTTGGGCACTGATTTTGAGCAGACAAATGAGAGTAACTATAGCAATAATTCAGTAACAATACCCAGCTCCCTTCACCATCCCTGGAAGAGTTAAGATCATGAATTATTGTGTGGTTGTGAGTTTTAACCAGTTTAATCACTTCATTAAATTCTAAACTATTTTACTTCCAGCCAAAGTCGTCTTATGCAGACACAGGACCCATCCTTCGAGAAACAGGACAGTGTGTGAGGCACTGACCTGTAAGCATCAACTGCACAAGGTCTCAGAGCCAGTGGGTAAACGTCAGAGTTTCTGACTTGGCAGCAGGCAGCCACGGTTTTATTTGTCACCTGCTGAAGTCAGCAGCTTTTGAAGTCCCAAATGTAAAAGAGACAGACGGTGGATCTGGGCCCTGGCAGGCTGACCATTAGCCTGTCAGATGGGCCCTCCAAGCCTCCAAAACAGCCCTGCAGACAGCATCTATCACTTCCATCCCTGCTTGTTTAAAAATGAAAGTGCAGCAGCAGGTCCAAGCATCAGATCTAAAAATATCACCAGGAACTTTTCCAGGATGCTTCCTTTTGAGACCACATAAATAACCACACGGGCTTCACAAAGCTCCTGCCCCCATGGCTTTGCTTCCAGCAGCATGCACTATTTCCAGCAGCAGCGTCGACTCCCACGGGTACCTCTCTCCCTAAGGAGCTGGCAGGTGGGGCAGGTTCAGGCCAGTTGGGTAGGGGATAAGGACTCGACTAGAGGTAGTGTTATATTTATTTATAATTTAAATCCTAATACTGCCTAAAGGATTTGTAGTGGCTTACATAGTCACCCATACTCTCTTTCTCTGCAGGAGTTAAATTAAAAATAAGAACAATAATTAAAAAGGAATTTTAAGCCATACTGGACAAGGTTGGCAATAACAGGTTCTTTCTCTTTGGGTGTTATGTCCTTGACAGTGGGTAAAATAGTTTATAAACAGCAAATAGGAGGGGATTAAGAGGATTAGGTAATAAGGCAGAATTAGGAAGTTGGCACTGCTTATTTCAGTCGTGTGGATCCTCATTAAATAAACTCCTCACGCTCTCCATCCCTTTGCTGTGCAATATGTTGGGAGAAAAAAAAGATCTAAAATCAATAATCTACATTTCTACCTTAGGAAACTAGAAAAGAAGAGCAAATTAAACCCAAAGTAAATGAAGATTTAAAATATTAGTGTAGAAATCAATGAAATTGAAACCAGAAAATCAATAAAGTCAACAAAACCAAAAGCTGGTTCCTTTGCTATGCAATTCTTTGTGGTCCACCCACTGCTTTCTTCATTCTATTCTGATGGCTCCCAGCAGTGATGGAAGTGTGGGTGGTGCTGTCCCCAGTTCCCCTTCTGAGCCACCTCCATCTCTTCCCAGGAGATACAGCAGATGTAAAGAGTATCATCATTCTTTGTGGAGATCACCAGCTTCCCTAAATGTCAGCTGGCCACACGAATAATCTCTGTGTAATGAGGCCAATGAAGCTTAGGGAGACAGGTGCATTTTAACTGTTCCCTCCCAGATATTATCTTTTTTGTTGACCTAAGTAAATGACTTTCCCCTCACCACCTGACAGATGCCTCAGAACTGGGGAGGACCGTAGGAGAGTTGAGGCATTGTGTGCTTCCGAATAGATGTCCTATCTCAAACCAGATAGCTGTTTTATTCACTCAGAGGTTTGCGGCACATCCCTGAAGACTCAGCATCCTCATCTATGAGTTCATCAAGGCTCCTCCCCCTTCCAGGGATGACACTCCAGTCTGGTCTTTCACCATTATCCACAATTTATAACAACTTCTTCTAAACTCTAAGCTAACCTTTTTTTGTGAGAAAAAAAATAAGCAATTCTTTATGACTCATATCATTTTAATCACACCAACAGATGGTGACATTTCATCAATAACCCTTCTGCTTATAACCTACAGGATTAGCTCCTTTCTCCATCTGCCAAAGTCACCAGGCAGGCGGTGCCACTAGCAAATAGCAGAAAATAATTGTCTGTTTAGATGCATAAGCTCTAAACACATGACTATCCAACTCAAACAATTAGCTATTTGTACATCTTCCAAAAGATGCATTTGAGATGGCTGTTCCTAGGGCAGAAATGGACAAGGAGAGACCGTGTCTCAGGTCATACAAATCGTGCTCTTTGTGGGGACTGAATAGCCCCTTGGGGGGACCAGTCCTGCCATAGAGAAGTACGAGAGCCCAGAACCCTGGGGTGGATTTCAGAGGTGTCTTGGGAGCAAGGCTCTCAGCATATTCTAAGGGAAATTCTCTGTTTTTCCAAGTCAATCTCACTCTGGTTCAATGGGCGACAGCTTGCAAACTAGTTAGAAAAGTGGAAAAAAATTTCTTTCCAAGTCTGGGGCCCGTTTGTCTTTGCCCAAGATGGGGCTGCTGGCACGTTCATTATTCTTAGCCCCATGGAGAGCCTGCTGAGGTCAGGGCACTGATTTTCCAAATTTTCCTGGAGCTGTGGCTTCCTGGCTTTGACCTTGCAACAGCCATCCTTACTTCCTAAAATTTTTGTGGTGTTCATAGAAAAAAGAAAAACAATTTAAAGTGACCCAGAAAAAATTCAGACAACTTTTCACACAAGGGTTTAAAGTAGTTTGAAACCTACAGGGAATCTCTGTGGAAGCCCTAGAATTGTGTCAAACCAGGGCCAGCGATGACTGCTTTAGGGTTTTGCAATCTCTGATAATGGAAAATCTCAGACTAGAGCACAGTACTCTAAGTTGCCACATAGCAATCTGTGAGACTCAGACCCTCATAGCAGACCCTGAGGGACTCAGTGCAGCATGGTGGGAAGAGTAGAGGGTAGACCCAGGAATCCTGGCTGCCAGTCCTTGCTCCAGCTGTGATTCTTGGGCAGCAGCCACCATTGTCTGCAGGTATGCACTGAGTGCCTTTAGGTGCAAGGCAGTGTGCAGTGTTCTAGGACTCTTGGTTTCCAGGAGGCTTGAATTTAAAGGGGGAGACAGAACAAATGGCTCCAAAAACTTATTTACCCATTCACAGAAATGCTGGTAGAATATGTGACAAGAGCTTCTGACTGTTTTCCAATATCTATTCTGCCTGTTGTAGACTGAATTGTTCTCCCCAAATTCATATGTTGAAGCCTTATTCCCCAGCACCTCAGAATGTGTCTGACTGCATTTGGGGGTACGGCCTTTTAAAAGAGGTGATTAATTAAAATGAGGCCATTAGGGTGGGTCCTAGGGCAACGTGACTGGTATCCTTATAAGAAGAGGCGAGTTGGCGTTAGTAGTATAGTGGTGAGCATAGCTGCCTTCCAAGAAGAGGAGAGTAGGACACACAGAGATACATTGCGGATTTCCATGCAGAGAGGAAAGGCCATGTGAGGACATGGAGGAGGCAGCCATCTGGAAGTCAGGAAGAGAGGTCTCAGAGGACAACCTCAAGAGCACCTTGATTTTGGACTTCCTGCCCCCAGAACTGTGAGGAAGTAAATTTCTGTTGCTTAAGCCACCCAGACTAAGCGATTTTCTTATAGTCACTCTAGCAAATTAATACACTGCCCAACTGCTTTAGTAATAGTAGGCCCACTTTCACCTAGGCCTGGAATAAAAACTTCATTTTCAGCCTCTCTTGAAACTAGGTGTGGCCCTGTGATTAGGTTCTGGCTGATTGGGACGTAGTCACAAGTCTCTTCTGCAACTTCTGGGCCATACCTATAAAGGGTGGAGGTGTGTCCTTCATCATTCCTTCCCAATTCCTGCTGGCTGGAATGGGGACATTTGGTCAGAACTTGAACAGCTGTCTTGGACCATGAAGTAGAGAAAGAATATAAAAGACTCTGAGCCCCTGACACCCAGCACGAGCCGTTCTAGCCCCAGGCTGCCTACATTGCTTATACTAAAATTCTATTCTACTCAAGCCACAGTTATTTTGGGTTTCTGGTTGCTCACAGTGAAACCTTATCTGGATTGATCCAGTGTTCTCTTTATGAGGAATCAAGGGAGAAATATCCTTCATATCTTGGCACTAGAAAAAGTCATACTTCTTTTGAGAGACTTTGAAAAACTCTTAGAAATACTATGAATCAGGTAAATGATGCTATTTTTTCTGTGCTTTCCACTGGGGATTTCAAAGCCAAATTTGTGACCCCATCTGGCAATCACAGTGCACCTCACTCTAACCTTACTCTTTTCCTTTCCTTCACATCCTTTGCTGAATTCTCTCAAAACTATTCACTTTATCCTTTTTCATCACATGGATTTTTGTTAGCAGCCTTGAATCTCTGTGAAACAAGGTGGGGCAGATTTAAAACTAAAACTACTCAGTGCTGTAATGGAATTTTGGTGATAACTTTAGCAAAGATGGTGGGGCAGCAGCAGATGTTATTCTATGTGATAACTTGTGACAAATGGACAAAATCCTTCTAGGACTCACTCATCAACACTGAAGGTTGGTATCAGGAAGTCTGGCCACAGAACATCTACAGATAGAAGAGAACAGCCCCA